TCGGGGGGAAAAAACGCAGACCTATTTTTGCTTGGTCCTGTTGCCATGGTGACTCGTAATGTCTTCACTCCATTGTTCAGGGCTTTTTATAGTCGCGTGGCACGCGCCTAACTCTGAGTCAAACTACTCAGAGTTGATTAAACCAACTCTTTTCAAGTTTTCCAACTCTGGGTAAGTCAACTCAGAGTTCAGGTTTGAACTCTGAGTTTGTTAAACCTCCTTCTTGAAACGGGCCCCTGGCGTAAAACTTGCATCACAGTTGCCGCAGAGCAACGTCGCGTCCCACCTCTGGTGTGGAATCCTGGCCTCCGCTGGCCCGCGATTATACTGGCCTTAGCTTGATCTGTATGAACAGCACAAGGGCGGGATATTGGCGACCCTTTTGAACTGCAGTAGTGCAGGGTGTCAGTGTAAAAATGACTATATATTCTGTAAAAGTGGTGAGCAGGAAGTACACAGCCACCTTGTGTATAACTGTGGAGGTAAGTCATTTTTGATTTGCTCACTTCTACCTCCAAGAGCACAGGTCACATCTGTCTCAGTTGTGATCTAAAGGGTTTACGTCCACATTAGCAACGGAAAGCTTCATCTAGTGAATGAATAACTAATAAAAACACACACAGTACTTCAATCACAATACCTTAATAGATGTTAAATAGAGTGAACTGAATACACCGGGGTAATTAGTATACAACATGTGTGTGTGGGTTGATACACTCGACAGAGAGGCACTCCCTCTTAATCACTGGGCTTTTTCAGCAACTCCAATCAAACAGACTCATCCACTGTCACAGTTGCTACTGTATGTGTCCAGGCCCACCAGATTTTCTCATTTTTTCTTTTTTTTTTTTTTTCTTTTTTAAAACAGCCTGGTATGTCTTTGTCTTCACTCGGTAGCACAGCACTAAAGGCGCATGATGAATTAACTATTTATTCTCTTTCACTGAATTTAAAAGAAAAGGGAAAAGTATCTGTCATGAATGCTGAATTTGAACAAAGGAGCACATTGTGGCTAACAGTATAGCAGAGGAGGCAATTTAGTCATCATTATTACATTAGAGAGATGTAACATATCTAAATCATGCTAAATTTCAGACTAAATAAGACAACAGAGCTTGAAATTAGTCTGCCCTCCCATTGAAAGAGTGACGTTCCCATGACATGACTAGTGATGGTATTTCCAATGACATGATGTGACAGCAGAACAGTCCTAAAATGACCTTGAGACATGTGGCCCACAGGGTCTGGTCTGTTCAGTTTCTTTGTGTCTGTACAGTGGGGCAGTGGGTTCCCTGCACGTGGCCTCCACAGTGACGTCATCCATCAGCTGCCACAAATTGGTGTGCTGTTTCTGTCCTTCCTCAACAAACTCCTCTCAGTCTACACTTGACTGAAATGTTAATTTCTGCTGGAATCTGCTCCGCTGTGTTAAATGCAAATACAAAATTAGGAGTTTCCACTGTGACTCTTTGTAGATTGTTCAGTGAAGTTGACAGGTCTTGATTTAGGTGTTGGTTTTTTTATTCACTAACAGATCAAAGATGTCTTTTGGGGCACAGTTAAAAAGAATGTAAAACTCAGTCTTCTTTTATAGATGTCTACTTCATTTATATGATAGAATAAATGATGCTGACATTTAGACCCTTAAAGTTACATGTACATTAGCAATTTTACTATATGGTAACACTTTGTTTAAAGGATGAATTGATTATCAAAATTGTTCTGGGGGGAGTGTTGTAGGCATGTACCATACAACCATGTTGTGATGAGTCAAAGTGAGTGGCTTCATTCACTTTTTGACCCCATTAGTTTCTGTTAAGCCTTGGTTAGCCATGCTGCTAAACAAAAGAGTCTTCTTCCTATGGGCGACCATGTCCCGATCGTCCCTCATATGTGATTGGTCAATGCAGTGCCTTTGCTGGATGATGTCACTGACCGGTGTGGTGCGGCATGGGTGAAAATGGCATAGAAGGTCACACAACAGCATCAGATAGATGTTAGAAGCTCATGCATAGTTATAAGGCCTGAAGAGACTCCTGTGAAATCATAGGAGAGAAACCAGTCAGCTGAGTTTGTGGCAAAACCTTTTACAGTGCTTTCATATTGTTGTCTTTTACTGTATATGGTAATTCACACTCAGCAAGTAGAACTGAAGTGACATTCATTACAAGATGATTAGTTAAAACATTTCAAAATGCACTTGCCCTGCTTAGCATTTTGTGACTTTCAGATGAATAAAAGACTATTTCGTCATTAAAGATTATTATTATTATTATTTTTTTAAATAGTGTTAAAGTCACGTCTCATTCTTGTGATACCAATATTGTGTCTTGTCACTTGAGCCTAGTGTATAGTCACACCCCTACTAATGACAATAATACAGGTGCTGTTTTACATGCTACTTGAGCTGTTATCCTCTGAGAAACCTAGTAACTGTGTAGTTGAAAGAAGATGGTGAGTTTGAAGCCATTGTGCTGCAGGCAGATGATTTTGTAAGCTCGGGGCAAAAGAGATGAGGCCGGGCTTTTTTTTTTGTTTGCTTCTAGGGATTGTCCACTGTGCTTTTCCTAACCTTCAGCTACACTGAAGGCAAAGAATAAGAAAGATGACAAATAATAAAATGTTTACATGCTTTCAGAATGTGTTGTAAAATGATTCCACTGTGATATATGATGATATACCATCTTTGAACTAAATATTTAGCATGATGGTGACTTTGGTCGATTCCTCGGTGAGCTATATTTCAGTTCTCAGTAGGCCTTCTTGTCAGAGGCATGGCTATTATATTCAAGGTCAGAAGGAGAGAAGATTATATCTTAGATATATGTCTGAAGGGATGAAACAAGACTGCATCATCTCTTTTAGTTAGCCATTACAGTTCAGCTCAACTCTTTTGGAGAAGATTTGTCAGACAGTGTTTCAAAGTATCTGTGGACACATCAGTGACTGGGAAGCAATTTTTAAACTGGTGTAGACGAGTCATGCCTTGTGTTCAAATTGCTGTTCCCGAGGTGTGAATAAAGTGGGTGTGTTGTTGTGTAGATTGAATAAATGTGGGTGGAATCAACAGCTATACTAAACCAGTTTTGCTTACTTCTACATTTAGCTCTCAGTTTGATGAGGGAGCATTGGAAGTCGTGCATAGAATGCAGATTGGTTTTTTCACTGAATGGATCAAAGTTGGGTAAGCTTGAGTCAGTTTGTCTAATTGATGTATGCCTCATTCTTTGAGTTTTGTTCTTAATGTTTCCTTCATTTAACAGTATGCCTGACATTAATAAGTGACCACTGCAAAGTTTATGTATGGTGGCTGTGGCACACAGCTGGCTTTGGAAACTCATTATCAGACTACAGAGCAATTGAACTTAATATCGGTGCAGTTCCACGCATGGTTTGTTGAGCCTTCTTTGTTTGGGTGCCACAAAAACTGCCTTTTTGTGGGTGTCTGGCAATGTTAGATGTATGACAGCTGCTGACTGACCCTGCATCCCTACACTGTGCATATGCTGTGCAACACAGATTGAGCATTCATGTAGGTAACGGTGCAGTCTTGCTGACCTCTGATTTAAAATGTGTAAAAAGTGCAAACACTGGTTGCATGGTTGTGTTGCAAGTTGCTTTTAGAGCATTAACATTGTGTTGGAGAAATATAGATGTATGCAATATAACAGTATATTGTGTATAAGAAATCCACTACAGAGTATCAGTAAAAGCATAAAAATACTCATAGCAGTTAACAATCTCAGATCCAGGCCTCAGCAGTCCAAATCCCAAAATGCACTATTTACTAGGGGTATAAAGATGCAGCCAGCTCACGATTGGGTTCAACTGACAATAGAGGGCTTAGGGTTATATACACTCATGATATACAGTATTCAACACAGAAGGAGGAAAACAAACTTTCAGTGTTATTTATTCTGTTTTAGGTATGTAAATTAATAAATATTTTAAAGTATTTGTTGGTTATAGGTCTTTCTTTACAAAGACCCCAATGTATAAACAATGACCTCATAAAGATGAGTAAATATTAACTCTGGTTGGAAAATCACTTGCCAAACTACAGTTACACTTGTGGCGAGGCCACAAAACCCTGCTTGTTTTTTTTTTGTTTTTTTAAGAAAGAAAATCGGCATGTCAGCATTTTCAGGCAGAAGTTGGGACCATTGGTAGTTCACATTATCTCTTACGGTTGAAAAACATGCTCACATGGAAATGAGATAACAGGAACTGCGAAATAAATTGGGCTCCAATGTGTTGACAAGTTTTTGAAAACATTGATCTTCAGCCACCGAAAATGGCTTCATGTCTTTAGCAATAAATATGGAGATGCTCTGTGTTATTGCTCTTCCACACTGACTCAGTGCCAGAAGCTGTGGCACAAATGTCTTAAATGTTTTTGGCCTGTGTTCAATCAACTTAACAGGTTGCACTGACTGTAACCTTTTCTTACGATGCCGGGATAGTAAGATTAATCTGGAATGGAGCCTTTTCTCTCCAGTGTGCCTACACTGCACTTAGACATTCTTAAATCATCCTTCAAAACTTTAAATGGAAGAAATAAATGCTTTAAAACAGTCTGTTCATTGATTGTAATTTAAGGAAAAGCATCCTTCTTCAGTCTGTTTTGTTCCCTTTTGCAGTGATGATGTATGCCTAGCACAATGATCCCTGGTGTTCTTCTCGATATCCAAGCCAAAGCCTGATAATCAGGATCTCGAGTGCTGCCTCGTGATCGTGCATTCTGTTGCCCGCTTCACATCAGCAACCAATTATTTGTAGAGGTTCGGGTAGCCACCATAGGGATGGCCTATATCTGGGGTTACTAGGATGAGAGGTCACTTTAAGCTTGTTTTTCTCAAGAGTGGAGGCAGAAGCATGCCCCAAAGTGAGACACTGATGCTCTTTGAATCCAGTGTCTTTTGTTCAAGGATTTCTCTAGAACTGAGTGGGCTCTTGGGTTTTGTGCTTAAACATTCTTCAGCTAATTCATTCTTTTAGATGTACTGGGAGACCTTGACCTTTTCACTGAAGTGCTGATAGCACGGAACAAGCCTTACAAACAGATAATTATCTAACGAATGCTTCATCTCTTAGTAGTTTTAAAAGGAAGATTGCTTTTCCTTGGGTGCAGGTAAAACTTCAGATCACTGATGTGTCCTTTCAAACCACTCAACTATGTGCTGTTATTAAGGCTTCCATAAATAAGGGAAATTCCAACCTAACACATGATTTGAAATGAGCATGAGTTAATAAATCTAGTGCAATGTTAGTGTCATACAGTAGCCAGACAGTATGCTACATACTGTATGAATAAACTGGAAGAATAGTGGTGCTGAAATGATTTGATTAATTCAGCTATTTGACAGGAAATTAATTGACAACCCATAATCAATTCATTTAAGTTGTTCATCAAACAAAAATGCCATTTGCAGGTTTCAGCTACTCCAAGACCAGGATTTTATTAATGGATGGCTGACTGTACATTTTTCATGTGGATAGACCTTTCTGGTCATGACAGTAACCATCCTTAACCATCTACTGGAAACTCCTTTATCACAAGTATGACGGACATTGCAACCTTATGCATTATTGAACACATCTCCCTACTGCTGAGATGTTATACTTGGCGGTTGGGGGTGGGATATTTGCAACATGAAAAGGGGAAGAGAGACCAAGAGACCGGATGAAAAGTCTGAGTGGGCAGACACTTTATGCTGAAAACAAACAAAAACATACTCAGCATTTAGTATGATTATGCAGTTATGTGACATCAAAATAACAAAAAAATTAGGAAAATTGAGGAAAAATTTGACGTGTAATAGCAGACAAGGAAAACATGAACACAAAATATAAGAGAACAGGGGACACTGATCACAGCCGTAACGGATAAAATATAAGTGTTCATAGAAATTATCCAGTATAGTGTGTGTGTGTGTGTGTGTGTGTGTGGTAGTAAGGTGCTATTGAGCAGTGCAAACAGGACTTAATCCAAAGTGAGAATGACCATAATACATTGCTGCTAAGCAGTACAGCCAAAATTTATTAAGTGCATCAGTTGCACTAGGAACAAAAGATAATCTATATTGCATTTTACCCTGGGGGACCGATGTCTCAGCACAGAGGTTGAGCCCAGAGAGAATAAATTCCTCCAATAGAGTATTAGTGTTGAATATTACACATGATATTCTTGAAACTAATATTGAACAGGTTTTTAAGCCATACTATTCTGTCTCACTTATTTCACTACAGTATGAATGTCTACTAGCGCTTTTCCACCAAAAACAAATCTTAAAAGATTTGTAATCTGGAACTTCCCACACCCATAATCCAGTGTAACCTGAAGGCTTGATCCTGTCCATTCCGCTACTTTTCCACTGTTAATGCAAGAGCGGGGCTGCGCTCCTCAGACACACCAGTGAGTGTCAGGTGAACTACAGTGGAGATCATTAATTGCTTGTGCACCAATATCGGCCCCTAATGGAGACTGTATTGAACAAATGAACAAACAGAAGCCAAACCTATCTTGCTTTGCTAAAGCAGAATGAGGAGACAGAGTGTACAAATTTTGTTATATGTTGATAGATTCCTACAGGGGAAAAGACTTGTAGCTGCTGAGACAAGTAATCCCTCAGTTTTTGTAATATCTGCTTTTTGCCAAATGCAGTGTATACTATTGTAGTTAGTTAAGCCAAAACTGCATCACAAAGTCAGAACAATAACCTAAGTTTGACAACAACTGCAGACACTTTGTTTGCTGTGAGGGAGGCAGAATAATGTTTGGAACTGGTAAATTTATAGTTTCCCCTGCCTCCTCTCTGCTTTCTATGTGCAGGCGTACTGGTGAGGCTGTCCTGGGCAGGAGAAGCATTTTCAAAGAGGATCAGAGGCACAGAGAAAGAGAGAGAGAGAGAGACTGGCTGAGCATCCCTCAAGATGAAGAAAAGCAGGAGTGCACAGGGGGTTACAAGAGGCGATGTAAGTACTGATTTTTCCAGCCATCCATCTATGCAACTCTGAGCCCATCCATGCATTCATTACACAACTTCTCATGATTTCTTTTTATTTGAAATTCTGCATCTTGCTTCCAAAGTTTTCACTCCAATTTTGCATAGTTACTTTAAATTTTATAGCATTATTCTTCCCTCTATTTCTCCAGTGAGTTCTAGTGAGAATACACTGAGGAATTGAGGTGCAGGTTGTCTGTGTGGTGGTAGGTGACTCATGAGTAGATGACTCTGTACTGTACACAACAGACCAGTATCTGGCAGGACACATTGCAGGGAGCGATATGGTGTGTGTGTGTGTGTGTGTGTGTGTGTGTGTGTGTGTGTGTGCTGGAACAGAGATGGGGGTGAAGGACAGTGTGTTGTGGGTCTGTATGACAGAGTTATGATGGTGGAGAGTTGAGAACTGATGTGAAGATTACAAGAAGGAGGCAGAGCAGAAGGAAGAAGGCAGTTCACACCAGGAGACATTTAGGACACAGACAGGATCTATGAATCATGGTTAAGAGGAGGAAGGACAGAGATCTGACCGAGAGGCCTGTTTATCCTCTACACCACTGGTGTTTGTCACTGGGCAGGCACCACAGATCATTTATCTTGACATTGTCCACCAGCAGCTCAGAGACCAAGCTAAATGCTAGATTCATAACATGCTAACTAGTGAAAATTTATGATAGTGGAAAAATATTGTAAATTTATTTAATGGTGTTCATTTGTCACTTTTTTGTTTTACAGAGGAAATAGGAAATTTATTACAGTATAATGACCATAATGTCAAGAGTGATTAAATATATATATATATTTAAAAGCAAACATGTTTTTAAAACCTTTTATTTGCATCCAGTGTTCTTCCGCTACTTTTCTGGCAGGAATGTTTGTGCGGGCATCTTCAATGCTTAAACTGTTTGTGTGTCAGAGTATTTTAACAGACAGTAATACTATACTTGTAACAGCTTTCATGCTTGCAGTATTCAGTAGTTCCTCTAGGATTTCCCAAAGCCAAAGATGTATGCGAGGCACTGTGGCGTTTCAGCAAAGCAACAAACACTGACTGTATGGCAGCAATTTGATCAGTCATTTGATTTGTTGACAACATTATAATAATACAACGTATCAGACTTTGTCTGGCATAGCACAGACCTATTTCCATCTTTGTTCCTGCTGTTTACACAATTCATCAACAACAATTCATTCACCATTTCATAAAAATGATAAATGGGGTTCTGTATTAACATTTGCTGTTCTTAGTTATTCAAGGCCTTTGAGTGTCCTATTCTCCTATTCAGATTCTATAGCACCTTAATAATTAATGTAGGCCCTTTCTTTTCTTTTGGTTCTGAGACTGAATAATTCTGCCACCACATCAAGCCTTGCTATTAGAACTTCACTCTTAAAGCTGTCTCAATTATATCACCTCTTCAAAAAGGCTTTTTGGAAGCCTGCCAGAGAACAACTGGAGTTGTTCAGGCTCTGCAGCCAAAAAAGGAAAACACCCACTCCACCTCTGACACCGGAGCTACACTACCTCGGTCTCATACTTGTTGTTTTACATTCATCACAGTTCCTGTCCTTTTATGATCATGTTCTGGCATGTCTGATAAATCCCAGATTTCTAGATTTACTAATTCTAAAATGATCTACTGCATCCTTATCTTGCACTCGGAATAAATCAGTGGAGCTTCCTCTTCCTGATGTCATCTAGACAAGAGATCAATGAAGAAGCAGAAATGTATGTCCTATCAATACACAACTGAATTTGGCAGTGAAGCAGCAGTGGCACAAATCAGAGTTGTTGGAATGGAGTTGAGTTTTGCCAGATTTAATTTCAGCAGGTTCCCTGGGACAGGAAAGCTTGTTTTGTAGAAGACAGACACAGTAACTCAGGCAGACTGAAGGAGCAGGAGAGAGAGACAGTAGAGCTATGTTTTACTGATGATCAGAATGGAAGGCAGATGGAAATTGGTGTCTGTGGTCTCTCTGTCTCTTCCATTTGCTACGTTCACCTTTCACTCTTTGTGGGCTCACTTTTTTCTTCTGGAGTTTGCTCTCTCATTCATGTTTCTCCTTTGCTTCCCCAACTGGCGTCTCTGCCATTAGCATCCATATCTTCTACTGGAAAGAGGAGGTGGGATGCTTTCCTCTTTGTCATCTTCATTCTCTTGTTTTCTTAGATCACAGTTGGCTTTCAGTCAAATAATATGACACCATTCTGTGTCACTTCACCTACTCCCTTATTAATTTTTTAGTTTGCGAGATGAAATGCCAAAGGTAATAAACAAAGGACTCACAACACTTCTGTTTTTAATTTTCAGACAGGATCTGTGTTTAAAACATGGTTTGGGATGCATATTTCTGTCCGGATGTAACCCGAGCCTGACAAAGTTGAGATTGTACCCCTCAGGTACTGACAGGATCCCACCGGGCTCGGTTCGGATATCCACATTACTTTATGTACATGACAAAGAGCCAATTTGAACTTGAATCACTGAACTCTTCTTAATGCATTATAAAAAAAAAAAAGAATAGGAGCAAATGACAGTTTTGTTGGCTACCTTGGGAGAAGTAACTTGTATTTATTGTAGGGCTGTTGCTAACGATTATTTTTCTGTCAAATAATCTAACGATCATTTTTTCGATTAGTCGAATAATAGTTTTTTTTTTTTTTTTTGTCGTGGGGTCCTGAAACAGACAACGGGATAAAAAGTGGCATAATTAGAAAATGTGTATATGTGTAATAGAGATTTAACAAATTGCAATGTTACTGTGGACTATTTCATTTGTATTTGCGTTTGTACAAACATCGTATTCCCGCATATTCACTCTCGCCCTCCCGACAGTAGTTTAACAGCAGCAGTGCTGCAGGCAGAAGAAACGTTTAACAAAAGATAAAAAATTACCGACGAGAACACATTCTTTGTACCGTATAAAGCTAATACTGTTACATTTGGTAGGAAAAATATGCAAAGTAAACAGAACTTACGGTGCCGTCTTGCTTCCGCTGTTGTCCTGAGAAACTGCCCCGGGATGTTTCCTTTTCAAATGCTCGTGCATGGTGCTGGTGTTGTGAAACACAATTTCTGCTTTGCAGAGCTGGCAGAGCACCATGTTGTTTGGTATCTGTTTAAAATACTGCCAAACATTTGATGGCAGCAGTCACGGTATTTTCAAATTACCCGGACACGCCATGCTGCTAATGCTATGTGTATCCATGCTCGCATTACTGCCTACTTCCTACTTCCTACTTATCTTCTTCTGAGTCCTTTTAAAGGGCAGTTGGCATCCAGCTTTTGGTGCATTACCGCCACCATCTGCTCTGGAGTGTGAAACTGAAACTTGTCTTACAATTTTTTTTGTTTGTTTCCTACATATGACAAGTCGACGATTAATATGCAAATCGACTAATTATCATAATCGATTAAGTCGAATAATTGCTACAGCCCTAATTTATTGTTTCTGGGTGCATCACCTAGACAGGATGCATGTACATATGTTCTCACAGTGGTCCTTTTGGCTTCTTAGAAAGCTTAGACAAATGCTACCAGTCATGATTTCTATTTATAGCAGGTGATTTCTTTTTCTTTTTTTGACCCAAATTTGCGATTTTTATTTTTTTATTTTTCATTCAGTCCTTTAGGTTGACAAATATTGTTTCATTTGTACTTACTAGAGCTGAAATCATTTAACAAGTCAAGTGACAGAAAACTAACAGTTTTGATAATTTATTTAAAATTCACAGGCTCGGGTTTTCAAATGTAAGGATTTGCTATTAACTTATTGCAGCTATATCAGTATTAGTGCAGAGAATGTTGGCCAATGATTAATAAGAAATTGCGGAACAGAGATGTAAGAACAGTATCACTGTTACATAGTTTGTCCATTACTGACAAACTGATTTGTTTTTTAAACAGTAACATGCCCCACTTGGTTACGGTCCTTTTTAAAAATCACTATCAAGATCATTATGTTTAAAAATAATTACTATTGGCCAATTTATCTGACCTTTTAAAGCCGTAAAATATCAATATCACCTTAACAAATCCAGTATCGGTTGGGCTATAATACCAACTAGCAACCAGCAGCTGCATTAAAGCAGACCCTGTCAGTCGAGAGAGAATTAGCAGCGGATTGTGTGCAGGCTTGATTTGATCAAATTGTGGTGAGCTGTTCACACTGATGTCACAGAGCCACTCTTTCACTGTCAACCACTTTCTTTCACACTCTTTTCCCATCTACTTTCCTGTGCCTCACAGACATAAAAGAGACAAATGATTACTTGTTTGCGGCAGCTACGCTCTAGGAATTCCTCGATCCTCCATTTCCCCCGCGACATTGAGCCTCTGTATCTCCCTTGTTCATTTGAAACCTGTCGGCATGTTTCATTTACCCTTGCATGGAGCAAACATAAAGTGGATGGTGATGAATGCAGAATGAGTTCTGGGAGCTCTCCTCTGTTTCCTCAGTGTCCCAGCTTATTTAAAACCTGTCGTTACAGTGAAGCACCCAGAGCTCATTGCCAGAACATTCACATTCAACTAGATGCATTAAATACACAATTTCTAAAAAGCACAGCTTCATATAAATGTCAATTGGCAGCTCAGGTGCAGGGGGGGCTAAAATAGACTTTGATTATACAGTTTATTTTGTCTGTGTAAAGAAGAGCACAAAACATAAATGTAGCTAATGTACTGTGGAGTATTTTGTTAAATCAAGGACATGTGCAGAGCAGAGTGTCCATTTTGTTGTACCTCTTAAAGTCCCTGTATAACAGCCATATTTGTGTCTGCTGCTACATCTCTTTTATTTGCCACAAAGGCTTTCTGGAGGAGGAACTATATTATGTTTTAGTTTCCCATTGTAACCCAGTGATTCACTCATTATTTTTTTATTCTTAGGACAATAAGGAGCCTGCTGTGGGACAATTTTCCTCAGGTAACACCCTCGGTGTAGAGGTGTGCAAAGTCCACAGGCGGTTTTCTGGCAACCTGCAGCTGCCTCCGTTGTCATGGCGACAGGCAGAAAAGGAGAGAGACCGAGGCCGCCCACTCACACCTGAGGAAGACCCAGTGACCCGAACCAGACCTACAAGCCTGCCCATCACCTCTCTGCCTCGCATCGACATCACACAGGCTGACCCTGACAGGTGAGGACAGCCTTGCAGTTTTCATACAGATGCCATGCAGGCATATTCTAGGGTAGCACTTCTCAGGAGAGTTGTAATACTTCAGAACTATGAGTAGCTTCCATTTTGTTTTACTTTAAGTCTCAGAACAACGTTGGTAACAGTGGGAGCTTGATGTTTTCTCACAACCAGTTTAAACATTACATTTGTAAATGAGCAGTAAGTTGGCAGTAACATTTGTAGTTTGCATATTGTTTTCTTCTCAGTTGTAGCTGTTTCTTAAGTAATAAATATAACCACAGAATAGTACACAACCTTTGCTCATTTCTAAGACATCCGAGGCTACTAATTACTATAATTAGCTTTCATTTGTTATTGTTGAGCCTGCTTTTGAGGCAGAATACAGTGGGCAGCTGTATTTTAGGGAATATGTATCAAATTACTTTTTTAATGATGGCTACCACTTTACATACTGTAGTTAAATGGTAATGGGCCACATACATCCTTTTTCTTTGAACCACTGTGACTCATCCAACTAAACTACACATGATTATGATCTCTCTTCATTGATGTACTGTCCTTTGACTCACTCATCTGTTGCTTCCATCTCTACAGCACTCGTGCTCTGCTTGACTGATTTTTGAAAGCCTGGGTTGCATTTATCCAGATTAAAGGTCAGGAGCTGGAAAACCTTGTCTCTGTTTATTGCATCACATTGTGAATGCTCCATGTGTTGTTTTTCAGTTGCTGACTAGTCAAGGAGCTTGTTGATTGTGTTGTTCAGGAGTGACTATAGTGATCTCAGGGAAGGAGTGGTTTTGTCTCTTCTTTGTTTTGTTTAGTTTGATTACAATACAGAAACTTCTTAACATAAAAACAGTGACAAAAGGCTCTTATGCTGTTTTGAGAAGGCTGCAGCTTTTAAATGCCAGGACAAATTCTTGCACCAGACTTGGTTGTAAAGCACGGTTACTAATGAAAAACAGTGGTGGGAACTGAGTGATTGGGTTGGACCAGCCAGTTTCTTGCAGTGCTGTTGCTGTTACTCCTGGCCAGCCACTTTTGCCATACAGTTCACCAAGATGTATTCACACAAGCAGGTTGTGATCAAGCATCTCTGCGGGCGCTTCACTGTAGCAAATACCTGATAAAGAATTGGTTGGTGTGTAGAAAAAGATATCTAACTCAAGTAGCTGTGCTTTCAGTTTCTACCTCTATTTGTCAACTGAATGCATTATTTGGGATTCATTCATAAATTTGCACAACTGCTAAATAAAATAGCAGTAGTTTATTTCAAGTTGCCAACAGTGTCTTTACTCTAGGGTGAGCAGTGATTTATCACTGGTATTTAAAACACTGGAAATAGACCCTGACAGTAACATGTGGAGACTCTCCATATGATAGTAACTGGCTCTTGTTTCCCACGTCTTAAGTTAGGTCCAGCCAAAGTTATTTATACTTTAGGCCTATAAATCATATGTACATTTTTTTTTTTTCTCAGAGGTCTTCACAATCTATACAGTATAGGACGTGCTTTATCTTTAGGACCCTCGACTGAGAAAATGAATTTAAAGTTTGAATTTTGACAAGTATACTTTTGTTGGATCAGTGACATCTGAATTCTATGCTGTTTTCCAGGCATATGCTGCGACAGTGCTATTTGGAAATATTCAGAAGACGATGAGATTATTTCATCATAAAATGTTTTTGTTGTTGTTGAAACATTCAAAAGTACAAGTTGAGCAGAGTGCCAAGTATTTTTCCTCTAGAATCAGCAGTGATAAATAAACCATTCTTGTTCTTTTCCCCTCTGTTTTAAAGCAGATAATATTGGATGGCTCTGGTTTCCCTCAGTGTTCCAGATGTCACTCAGTCACACTGTTTTTTGTTTTTTTCTTTCAGCCCATTTAGATAGCTGGAATGTTAACTATTCTGTTGTGGATTTAGCTTTATATCAACACTGACACTGGTAAATGAACGCAGAATATGCAGTCTTCTGCCAACATGAGAACATATTATTTTAAATCCTTTTGTAAGGAAAGGGAGTAGAGTTCTGTCCATCCAATATTAAGACATTTATCACTGAAACATTTGCATCCAATATTAAGACATTTATCACTGACACATTTGCTGCCAGGCTTTTATTCCCTTAAACTAAATGTTTAGTGACCGTTCTGGACTGTAACATCACTTGACAATATCTAGGGAACCTTGTCGCACACACCTCTGGTCTACAAAAAGTCCCTTCATGAAGCAGCTCACTCCTACTCTTCTACCTTTTTTTATAGCAGGAGTGAACTGCACCCTCACTGTTCTCTCCTGTATTCTGATCACCATGCTACTGTAATTCTTGACAGAGCACAATAAACCAGTGTCTCTAATCAAAAAGACTTGCAAAGGTCAAAAGATCTGTTTCTTCTCTGAAACCGTCTGTTGTTGCGGTGAAATTTAAACAGATGTGAAGTGACCTGGTATAGCTATAGGCTCTCAATTACTATGTGCAGGCACAGAATAATTATTTTGTTTGGAAATATCTACACTGCACCATATGCACATTAGTAATAGTCTTCAGATAAATGAAAATATTCCATTTCACTGTGAACTTTAGCACACTTACTTTTATAGGACATAACAGGCAGCCCGCTAAATGGCGGGTGGGGATGATAAACACCCTGACTAATCTGCAGTGGTTTTAGTATAGATGGGAAAAGAACAGGCGGATTCACAAAGTGACTGCAAGTCCGTTCCCTGTGTTCTAGCCCAGATCTGACTGTGAACTTGTGAACTGGACACAAGTCTGTCAGTGTGTGTGTGTGTCTGTGTGTTGTGAATGAGTAGCATCAGTGTTTTTGTTGCCCAGTGAGCAGGAAGGAGGAGGTGAAAGTGAGAGAAGAATGTTAGGGGTCCCCTGAGTGCAGAATTGGGCGCTTTGACTTCAGTGAGGATGTGGTCAGTGGAGCACACCTCTCAGCTCACAGGTGACTTTTAGGTGATCTTTTCTGTTACATTTCTTTCTTTTCTATTCCAAAAGTGTTCTTTTGCAAAAGCTTTAATATAGACTAAGTATTTTAGTTCTTTTTTGCTGTCTGCATTTGCATCATTGGTAGATTGTAGGAGTGTGACAATACATTAGCATGATATTGGGGTTATGAGAACAGACCATATTTTAACTAGGGGTGTAAGAAAATATCGATACACATGAGTATTATAATACATCGCTTTGCAATACTGTACTGATTCTCAAAAATACAGTATCAATTTTTTATTAATAGTTCATATACCAAGTAGTGCTATGTCATTGGATGTTACAGGGACTGTGACAAATGCAGAAATTTTTTTACAGCTTCTAACTTCTATCTGAAGCTGTGTGTGACCATATACTGTATGCTATTTTGACCCTCACTGCAATGGACAGTGACATCATCCAGCAGAGGCACTGTACTGACCAATCATGAATGGGGATGATCTGGACATGGACACTCATGGGAAAGAAGTTTTTTTGTTGTTGTTGTTGTTGTTGTTGTTTACCTTGTTAGCATGAGCATTCACTGCTATTCACTGGCGAAATATGTTAGCAGCTTGGCTAACCAATAGAAACTCATGGGCTGGAAACGTGAATGAAGCCACTGCGTTGACTCATCACAACGTGGCCGTTTTGTACAGGCCTACAACACTCCTGCCCACAACCCCACACACCCCGACCATCACAGCCCCGTGCATTAAAACACAGCAGGGAGTTGCATTTTTTCTGCACTAATGTGAAGGTACAGTCACACTCTGTCATACTGGCTGCTGCACTGGTTATGTTATGTACTGGTATCCCAGGACAGGTTTTGCCTCAACGAGAAATATCATGTTTTAATATGATCTCATGGTATGAGATTTCGTCATACCCCTAGTAGAGTGGAACTTTACAGTGTAATGCATAAACAGTTTAATCTGCGTCCTTCATTCTAGAGCTGTAATTCTTAGCCCGAACCCGACCTGACCGTCGTGCACCCGACGGGTTGGGCTTAATTTCTATCATTTTTACTCAGGCCGGGCTCGGGCTCGCGCGTTAAATGAGTGGTCACGTGATGCGTTTCAATTAGCGTGAGAAAGCTGCATTGCGAAGAACGAAGATGGATGAGGTGAAACAAAGGCTTGCCTCTGGCGTATATTTTTTGGTTACACCAGCAGCAGCTAAGTCTGAGGTGTGGCAACATTTTGAACATGTGCATAACGAGAACAATGACCCAGTGGGTTATGTAAAATGCAAGAAATGTAACGTTCTCTTAAAATACTACAGCAAAACGACAGTGAATTCCTCGTTGAGAAGGCATGTTGAGCGATGCTGTGTGCGCGCGCCGTGCGCACATTTGAATAATGTTGGGCTGTCAAATCAAAAATGTACTTGCCGGGCTCGGGCCCTGTCGGGCCTAACTTTTCAGGCCCAATTACAGCTCTACTTCATCCATTGTACCAGACTGTGGCTGTGAGTTATCAAGATTTACAGACGTTGTATGCCATTTTTCATCACTGTCTGTGTTTGATTACTGTAGGTAAAGCATGTTGTCAATGCTATGTTGGTTGAGATTTCGATGACATAGCATGCAGCACAGATGACGTTTATCATTCTGCATGTGGGTAATTAGAGTCTGCACCTTACCCTCTTTTCCTGATCTTCTCTAGCAGAGGTGTGGGGCTAACAGTGTGTTAGTGGGACATGTGGCTATTTAATCCCACATGGAACAGAAATTAGAGGCAGGAGCTAAATGTCAGACAAATACTTAGGCAGCCTTTGGGATGGTCAGTCGATTACAGAAGTTGGTTGCGTAGTGAGAGTGTTATTTTTATTAACTTTTTTTTACACTACAACAGTAATGTGCTTTAAACAATCTTAGGGTTGTTACACTATGTAATTTACACTTTCTGTCATCCTGAGTGTAACCACAATCTAAACTAAGTGATGGATTTAGTGAGACTGTTTATGCTTTGCAGTCTCTTGTTTTTGATATTATGACCAGTACATTCCAGTCCATCTGACCTGATTATCTAGTTATGTTGTCCTCTTCTCCTGCACCCACTCCATGGTGACAGATTATATCCATCTGTGGTGGTTTCATTGTGGCATCAGCAAACATGCTGGGTGGAAGGATTAGAAATGTTTGGTTTTTTTTTTTAATCATTTTGCATTTTTGTATTGTATATGTGGTTTTATATAAAAGCCCAAAGACGAGCAGTGTCATTTAGTTTACACCATAAATCACATGTTTAATTGAATTGGGTTCATTTTTATACATTTTTTTTTCCCTTATTGGCTTGATTTTGTCAAGGAGCATGTACAAAAACAATCTCAAGCAATGCCAGGAGATGCTTATTCCAGATTTAGCTATTGGCTTTCCATGTGCAGGCCCTTGGCAGGTAGACGTGACAGAATACAATCCTGTATACAAGTTTCAAAGGGCACTGGTTGAGTGTAAACAAAGCTAAATAAACATGAGAATATGCCAGAAATTGCACCATAAGGCATACATCTCTCTCTGTGTGCCAGTTTCTTGCTTCCAAAGCTGAATGGAGCACAGAGTAAGCTAGCAGTAAACAGCATGCTTAGTTAATGAGCACAGCAGTTTGTTTTTAGGTCATGGATGCATGAGTGAGTTATCGTTTTAGGGTTTATGCAGCCATCTCTTTCCCAGATAGGATTTGTGCAAGTCATTACTTAGTGGCAGCTTATTGAATGTACTTGGTTCAGAATGGTGAGTTGAAAGTTGACTATAAATGATTAAATTGGTGCCTGATGAGACAGTGACATGGTGAGAGTAATGCTTTATAATTAATAGATATCAGTTGAAATTGGTAACAAGTCAGATTTTAAAGTTGACTGAGGAATGCCCAGTCCTGACTTTTGTGCTGATTACCATTGTTTATCTTTCACTTTTCCAGCTTTGAAGTGGAGAACGGGCCATCATTGTGCTGCAGTCTGTCAGATCTGCAGGCGTCCCCGAGTTCAGGTCTGGTTCTACACCCCAACCTGGCGAGCCATGGCCAGCGCAGAGAGTCCTTCCTGTACCGTTCTGACAGCGACTATGACCTATCGCCCAAGTCCTTGTCCCGAAATTCCTCCATTGTTGGAGAACTGTGAGTAGTTTACATCACAGCTCTCTGAAATATCAGATTCACTATGATCAGCTGTTTTGTTAGTGTGCAACAGTCAGTGTTTGTTTTCATCACATCTCATTTCAGACATGGGGAGGACCTAATTGTGACTCCATTTGCCCAGGTAAGAGTTGATAGACAAGTCAGCAAATCTGCCCCAAATAGGTAATTTAATGATGGTTTGCTAAGTAGCATTTTTTGATAATCACAGTCTTTCTTAGATGTGAGTAGTGCTGGGTGAATCCTTAAGACTGTCTTTGTGTCAAAAAGAATAAAGATTTGAAGCTTTGGGGTCTCAAACAAAGCAAGTGCAGTGACATCTACTGGTTTGTAAAACTTATAGCATCTCTTCAAGATGGACCCCAGAATACTACAGCAGTTCACTGAATTTAATAGTTTAAGCCTCATATGTGTGCAGTAAAAATCCAACAAGCCTGTGTAATGGTATTAAATCTGTAGAACGCCAATGTTATTGTGCAATATGTGACAGTAAAATTATTATTTAACACACTACCTAAAAACCAATCAACAGTTTGTCCAAACTTTTGACCTTTGGTAATACTAAATAATAATGTACATTCTTATTGTCGTTAAGGCTGAACATCTCTAATATATTTAACTTCGTGACTGATGTGTATGTAACATTTCATATGAGTTTCACAATGTGTTGACAGAGTGTGCTTCACAGGAGTCAAGAAAGCTTCAGAGCTTGTGAAGTTACCCTGTCACTCAGTCATGATTGGCTTATCTTTCCCTGGTGGCCTTGATTTGACATGGCGTGATCTGCTTGGCAATGGAAAAATAATTTTAGATTCATCATCCCTGATTTAATCTGTAGCCAGTTGGGTCCTGTTCTCAGTTGTTGCACTTTGGGTGGAAGTGGGCGTGACAAGCACCATTGAGCATTTCCACAAATATTTAAAGAGAATCCTTAAAAACTTGAAATCTATACACCTTTCTTATTCCAACCCCACATTTGTCAATCGATACTTCTGCTCATTCTTCTCATTCTTTTTCTCATGTTGTCTTTTTAGGTTCTGGCAAGCCTTCGGACTGTGAGGAACAACTTCATCACCTTGACAAATGTGCAATGTGTATCCAATAAGTAAGTCATCTCATATTTGTGTAATGGTATCTGTTGTGAGCATGACTGCATGTGACTGGACATCTTCAGCTATGCAATGAAGATTTCAATGGTGATGCTTTTGTGTGTTGGTAGAAATCCTTGGCAACAATTCATGAGGTAAAATTCTTTGTAGGAAATCTGTTGGTGGACTCCATCTTTTAGATTATTAGGCGCTCCTATTCGAGATGCTAACTTGCCTCACTTGGGGGCGCCAGTGCATCAAAAACTATGCTACAATGTAACGAGGGAGTTAGTCACATTGAACTAAGTCTTTATTCAAACATCAAGAGTCTTTTGCTTATTATGCTACAGCTGATTTGCTGCAGCAGCATTGAGATCATTAACTCGACAGTGACTTTTAATTCAATTTTTTTCTTTTTTCTTTTTTTTTTTTTGGTGGAAGAGGAGGTTAGCCTTCCTCATTTGAGTGCATAAAATGTCACAGAAAAAAAAAATCTGACCTGTGACAAGTTCAGAGAACCGAGGGAGCTTCTGCTTAGTGTTTGTGCTGTGGCAACAGTGACTGCTCCTCAAACCAAATCACTGCAAAAAAAAACAAAACAAAAACAAATGCAGTCATTTGTTAAACATCAGGGCTTCTGTTTTTAATAGTTTGTGACTTGCTTCTCTCTGGTTGCAGGAGGTCTCCTGCTGCAAATCAACCTTCTGTCACCAGAGTCTGTCTGTCAGGTGAGTCCGGTCGTAAGCCTTCCACTATATGATGACAGAAGTTTAAATGGGCCCTTGTCAAAAGTAACGATTCTGGGAAATGTGGAGAGCAATAACATGCATGCTATGCAGTGCAGATCTGCACGGTTTTTATTGTGGTAGTTTTGTAAGTTCTAGGAAGTCAAACATCAAGATTGGCTGCTGGGGAAGGACAATGCTCTGTGAAAGATAAAACTCAAGCTAATGACCAAACAAAAAATAAAGACCACAATATGACTAGAATCTGCACAGTTGTCAACATTTTACAGTTTGATGCAGGTGTAATAAACAGTGAATTGCAGTGGCCTACAGTTACTTGTTTCCTACCTGCTTAGCAAATAAGACTATGCAAATATGTACATTCAAGCTAATCCTTTTCAAAGCAAGTTTATTTATATAGCAAATTTGCATATATATATGAAACGGTTGAAAGAAAATTGGATTAATACATTAAAACAATTACATGACAGTGCAAAATGCAAGTGTAGATACTTAATACTATTAGTATAGCTGTGGCAGACTGGATTCTCACAGTTCTCATTATACTGTGTACCCCTTTGCTTCATTTGTCTTAACACTAACCTCTGGGTACTTTAACACTATAAACAGGTGTACTTTCTTCCAGAAATTTGAACACCAGTATCTATACAGTCAGAAAAACCATTACAAAAACTTTTGGGATAGCTGTAGCACACTGTGGATACTCATTGTTCTCAATACACTTTGTATCCCTTCCTTCAGTTTTCCCAAGACTAACCTCTGAGTAATTTACACCAGAGGCAGATGTACTTTTTTATGCTGTTTATTGTTTTCAAATATTTATTTTGTGTAGATAGACTTTTGGTAGAACAACAACAATTCCTTAGGAAAATTTTTATGTAAATATTGTAAGAGATATTTACACTCCCAGGACAAATTGCATTATCTTTGAACCTTTTTACACATGCAGATAGAAGCTGTGATCTTTTCACTTATTCATCAAAGAAACTATGAGTTGATGGCAACACAAACATGCACTGCCATTATAATTGGAAAGAGGGTGAGCGCCACAGAAAGACATTTAGCGGTGAGATTCAGGTAGATTTGAAGGAGGAGAGGACAAGTGAAATCAGGTGAGGTGGGAGGTTGGGATTTTGGTTCCTGCTGCACTGGTTCTTCAACCCCGATTGACGTCAGCACAGCCTGCACATGCGTGCTCTCTGCTTCCTATCAGCACAGATGAGCAGCTAGGAGCGTCCTGTTGCAGGAAGAAATACAAAACAAGTCTGTTATTGTCCTTCCTCCTCCACACTTCTCACAAACCTCAACCTTAACTAAGTAATTGCTGACAAGTGAAACCATCCTGTTACTTCCATCATGACGCACTGGGAAGAGAAGAAGACCATGACATAAACAAATGATTAACTTTGTCTGAAACTTCTGAGACACAGCACATTTGTGTTTTTAGTACAGCACCTTACCGGTCCCACCACAGAATATTGCTGTTTTTCTCAAGCATACATAGGGCATGCAGTACACCTGCCACTTAATAATAGTGATTGGTCTGATGGCTACAACATTTAACAATATCACAAGGAAAGATGCCCTCATATCCTCCCTTTTGCTGCTTTCTGTCTCTTTTGTTTGTCAGCTCTTCAACCGGAAAAGGTGAACAGATTTTTTTCTGAGATACAGTACCTGCTCCGCATAGTTTGCTGATTATGATCTCCGTGAATCTGAAAATCTCCAAAAAAAAGCATGAAACGCATCTGAAGTCAAGAGAGTAGTGTGAATTCCTATAGGAAGATGGTGAGGTTAAGATTGAGTAGGTTCAACAAAGTTTGAGTTTTTAGCCAGATTTTTGCACGGAGTGATAGAGAAGGTCAAAGATAGATGCCACAGTGTTTGAATGTTTTAATCAGATGTAGTCTGAGAG